AAAAAATACTTTCTGCGTAGCCCCTCTGCGTGCGCCGGGTGTGCTTGTCAGACACTGCTTTTCAGCACCAGCAGTACTCGACGCTCAGGTGGAGGACGGAAGTGAAACTCGGCAACAGGTTCAGGAACGTCACATAGTACATGCGTGACTCTTTTGATTTGGCAATATTGTCCTTGGGTGGGAGAAAACCGAGTCGTTGGCCTGAAGCCGTCTGGCGGCCTGTTTTACGCACCGTTGTTCCGCCGCTCTGTTTGGCGAACTTTGACGACAAGTTGACCCCCCGTAGAGTTGACCAAATGGACCAGCGCTCGGAGACTGGAGTGATCGATAAGCATAGACCTGATATATCGTTGCTAGAATTTTGGATCTGCGTTGTGAAAGCCGAAACAGAGCTTCGCGCACCGGTGCCTTATAACGCGGCGGAACTTCCTCAACAGACACAGCTGCTGCGTGCGGTCGCGAGTCGGTGCTGCCGCACCGGCCGCGTAAGCTATGAAGTGGTGATGCTGCACTCCTTACCACTCTTCAAAACACTCTTGGTTTAGTTTAACCATTATCGGTTTGTTTTCACCGATCCTGAACAGGTTGTATTCCTATGTCGGCAACTGGGACCCGTTGTACCGCATGCCTCAGTGGAGAAGAATCTGCCTTCCGACATATGCTGGCAAGGACCAGCAGCCAAGTCCGGGATTTCGTAGACGAGGTCGGCATCGCAAACCAGTTTCCGGCCTTGAACGAGGGGAACTTAGGCGTGATCACCCTCGTACTGTGCAGACGACCTGCTTGCTTGCTGCAGCTGTACAAAAAGCACGAGCAAAGGGCTAGCAAGGACCGGAGTAAAGACCGGCGAGCGCGCAAGGCAGCTCGGACGCCTCGCCATGCCAAGGGTTGGGTTGGTGCTCCTGAACCTCAAACGCACCTGAAGCGTCGGTGGCTTGATAGGTACTGCACTTCGCCTGAGGCGGTGGATGCTTTGCTGGGTGCTGCTGGGTGCTGTGGGTAACACGGGATGCGTTTTGGACATGTGCGGTGGGCCCACGGACGCCGTCGCGACCCGTCTTCGATCCACGTGCGAAGTTCTCACCAACGACCTGAGCTCGGGGTAAGGACGTTCTACCTCTGTTCAGTAACTTGACAATACCCCGCAGGAAAATTCCTTGCACATAGACGTTCAGAAAACACAGGGGGCAGCCGACAAAAAATCTTCTGACAACGGTTCACATGTAAAAGTAATTCGACTGTATTGCGGATGGTAGGTTGTGCTCAGGCCCGACATGGAACGTGAACATCACGAGGTGGTACAGAACAACACAAAATGTGCGCGGTTTTTCATGGACACGATAATTTCGCCCCCGATCCTTTCTGTGAGTTCGCTCCGAGTCGTTATTCCCCCCCCCCCCCCCCCCATATTAATCACCGTTGCTCACGTTTCATGGCTTGATTTTCGGTTTTGGCTGTTGCCAGAGGTGCCAAGTGCTCGGATTTGCAATGGTAAAATCTCCAGTTGACAGACAGGTTCTGGGTGCATGCCTGCAAAGGCCGTGTGCCCTTTTGACAGGCACGGGCCACGCTCCTTATAGCACGTATGGGGGTCTTTCTTCTCCCACAGTGGATGTCTTTGTTGAAGAGGGAGATTCTCACGCGTTTGGCGAAACGGCAACACCATGTTCGCGCATGATTATTTTTTTCCCGTATCATGTGCGCGATCGCTGATTTCTTGTATTCTGTTGTTGTCGATGCAGGCGTCCAGCGGATACCAACCTTGACGCAAGCTTGGAGTCCTTCCCGGAAGACTTTCTCGCAGCTAACTCCGGGAAAAGGCCTGAGTGGGTGGTGACGAGCCCTCCATACAACAATGCTCTGACTTTTGTCAAGGCCGCCATGTCGTTGGCGACGAAAGGGGTGGCGTTCAAAATGCCACTTTCTTTTCTGGAACCTTGCGCCGACCGGGGCGGTTGGCTGAAAACGAACCCCCCGTCTGTTTGTGTGTTTCTGCGCAGAGCGAAATACACGCGTGCGAACAATGCGAAGATGGGCGAATTCTGGGGTGTGTGGTATACTCAGGAAATGAACTGCGGCCGAGGGGTCAAAAGAATGAACACTTCACAAAGCTCCGTACGTCTTTTGCGCCCCACAATGAGCAACAACACACCCGGCGTCCGGACACCCGGCGTCCTGTCTGTCTCACCTGAAGGGCACCTGCGTTTGCCGGGGGCAACATGAGCACCCAGTGATTGAAATCAGGCATCCATCGCATTTGGTGGAGTTCGCCATCGGCGCCGCGTTCCCAGCGGCGAGTTGTCTCCGTGAACTCGTGGATGCTGCTGAACGCGTGCTTGTGAGACGTGATGGACATCGTGAGGTAGATGGTTGGCTCAACCCCAGAGGGGTTGAGCGGACCGATCAATTCCTTGCTCCATTTCCCGGCGAACGACGCCCCACCCTCAACATCCTTCATCGACCCACCTGCCCAGTGACATAATGTGTGAGCAACGTTATCAAAGGATCGCCCTCATTTGCACAAGCTATTGGGATATAAGGATACTAAATGAAGGTGACAAGCACTTATCCGAAGCGTCCCTGTACCACAAGAGAGATAATCCTGTCCTGGGGGTGGTGGAAGGGGGTTGTCCGGGTTAATCGTGACAGGTGGAGACCTAACGAGAGCGGGAGCCCTCATACCGATTTAGCTTTGCAAGTTTGCCGTCTTCTATCTTACGGGGAAATCATCCTGAATACAAACCAACTCACCTGGGTGAAAGCACCGCATCTTCACCCCAAACGCTTGTGCTGTCCACGGTATGGCCGCCTGTTGGCTGTCGCTGAACTCGCCAGCGACCTCTCGCACGGCAAGCAGGTACAGAACTCGCGCTACGCTCTCTGTCAAGACCTCAGGAGTGCTGCACCCGAGCCTCCAAGCGCGCGGAATACGCCTTCAGCGTACAGTAGAAGCCACCGTACCCAGGACCGCTGATGAATAATGTCTGCAAATGTACTAGGGCCGCTCGAATTACGGCTACACGCACCGACAGAGAAAGCTCCAGCGCTTCGTCAGGGGTTTTGTACCTGGCGCCAAACCCCCCCAACGCAACGGCGTTGAAATAGCAAGCATTGTTGGCGCAGGTTTTTATGGTCGACCCCCTGGTCCCACCGTCCGCGCTGTCCGCCTCGTTGAGCAGGGCTTGAGCCGTTGCATCCACGAGCATGGGTCGCCTCAACAATCCTTCGTATCCCTGCAAAAAACGACCGGAGGCGGTTGTGTTTCTGGTGGCATCATTTTGCTCCCATGGTGTGCCTATAGCACGTGCACGATGCATCGTTGCACAAAAATTGCTCACCCAATACACTGGGTTTGCTAGGTACCGTGCGCTCGACGGTTGAAACCATGAGTCTAATAGCAAATGACTTGGTCTTACCAGGTATGTACCGGTTCGCGGCGGGGCGACCAACAAGATTCCGTGTTGATGTGACGAGGAGGGACAGCCCAACTCACTACTCGCACATTCTCGTCAGCCAACATGGGAATGTTGCAAGCACTCTGGTCGGTGCCCGCATGATGTGAAGGGCTGGCGCACACCCGTACCGAGTTTTTCGACAGGACGGAGGGCACCGAAAATAGCGGCGTGCTTTGCCCCTCATGTTGGTACCACAAGGTGCGACACCATTTTTCATTTTAGAAACAGGTAGGAGTGAATGTTGAGGTTGGAAGAAGAGTGAGATGAAGCTGTGGAGCAACTCTACGCATATTAGATTTTACAGTTCATACTAGAGTTAGTTTGGTTCCCAGTAAGACATGCCATCACGAAATCTTCCGAAACGTGCATCAAGACGTCGCGCAGCCTCGCTGTCAGTTTCAGTCGCACTGCCGAACGAACAGATTCACCTCCACCCGCTCAAGAAACGCAGGCACGCACGAGGCGCCCTAACAGAGGATGATATCCTGTCTGCAGGAAAAGCTACATCATCCGCTGCGAACGTCAAGCTGAACCGGTTTGTGTGCGAAACAAGTCCCCATGGCGGTGTTAGTGCCACAATGAACACAAACCGCCTCACCCACGGCAAGCAGGCCTTTCTAGGGAAAAAACGATTTCGCTCCTCCTAAGACACCATTTCAACTACATCCGACCATCACCAAACAACGGCTGAGGTTTGAGTGGGCTCATGTTATCTCTCTGCCATCGATGGGATTTCATTTCGCCCCGCCCCGAGTGTCGAGAACAAAATGCTTTACTCCCAGTGCTGACAAAGTGTTACCCGTTTCATATGCAACCCGGTCTACTTTCCTTTTCCTTATGGCGTGGGTGCAGTCGTTCATGCTCAAACCTTCCCCGAACAACCACCAACACGCTCAAGTAACACTGGCATACAGCCCAACCTGAGTCTCGTGTTTCTATTCGATGCCATCTCCCATAGGCCGTGCTGTTCCCCGTACAGGAGTCTGTGCCCCAAAACACGCCCAATTCACCGAAATGTATTCCATGTATCTCTAAGCTCACCAACTCAACCGACCAACTCGTCCTTCGTACAGCAGGCAATCGGTATCTCACAGCCCGGGAAAAAAGGACAGTCAACCAAAACGCTCCAGCACCCGTTCTATCAACGTTCGCTTTCTCGACCAAGCACGCTCGTGAACGCCACAACCCATTGTTGCGGTCGGAGCAGAGCCATGAGTCATCTATCGAATCATTTACTCTTACCGCCGTAATGGGCCTCCAGCCCCATCAACGGCTCTGTCCCTCTCAATCAACAACTCTCTTCCCGCTCCGGACGTCCAAAGAGATCAGACTCCGAGTGTTCGTTTCCCGTCGCGCATCTGGAGCTTGATTTTCTCCCACGAAAGCAAAATTCAAAACTTTTCCGAAATATGACAGGACAAACTAGTATCGGATTGTTTCCCGGGAAATCCTGCGTTTCTGATACAGGCGACAATCCACCCGAAACGCCCGAATAATCCCAATTCATCAACGTGAACTGAAAATTTCGAGTTACCTCTGATAAAGTGCACGTATATGAACCTGCTAGCATACACGGGTTTGGTTGGGTATGTTGTCAAAACAACGGCTGAGGAACAACAATATCACCGGTATGTTGTCAAAACAACGGCTGAGGAACCAAAATATCACTGCAGCTGTACTACTGTCGATGAATCGAACAACGTGGGGAAACCGGAAATGTGCCTCGAACTTGGGCGGCACGAAAATGCCTCATCTGCCAATCAAAAAGCATACATACCGCCTCAATTGGCAACACGACACCCTGCAGTTCCCAAAACACACTCGACAATGCCTCTGACGCACAACTACCTGCCTACGCCTACTGCACCTCTAGTGAACTCACGGAGTGCTGCTAACAAAAACAAAAAAAACGTGGACCCCCCACGCCCCCTCCCGTCTGCCGTAGCGGATTCATAAGGTCCGCACAGTTTCGCTTTTTACACGCAAAGATTATTGGCATACTGCAGGGTAATTCATTTTCATCTCTGCTCATCGCCCCAGACGCTCTCAACCTCTACAAGTAACATCGCCAACTTGCTCCATATACACGTGAAGATACGCTACCGTCATCGTATCGGCCGTTTCAGCTTCTTTTCCAGCTCGTGGCATATACAAACGCCGATTTTCGTAAAATTATTTTTCTCATCTTTGTTCGTTCCGTCGCCCGCGCGTAGCACGGATCAACTTCGTCTCCGCCTGAACAAAAGTATCTTCTTGCGGTCTTTTGAGGACGAGAAGAGAAGCAGGGGCCGAAAAATGGCGGCGTAGTCCGGGATATCCTTTCATCGAAGATATAACTCAGATCAAAAAGCAAGAGCAAAAATCCCGGAAGCAACCCCCCTCCCATTTGTCACTCAAAAAGGTTTCCAATCATTCGGCCCCTATCATCTTTGCAGAGAACCTTAACCCACCTGTTGGTCGAACACACGGGTTTTGCAATCAATTCAGGCGGTAAGTTCCCTATGAAGACCACACTAATATATCTAGGTTTTCGCTTTCCCCTCGCTCTACTGGGTAAGCCCGAACCACTCCGCAAGACCAACTGTACATCTCCTCGACGGTTTGCACCCGGCACTATTCCGCCGCACATCACGGTTTCCTCTCGTTTCATCACCAACAGACCCTCTATATCTCCGGCAAACGGTACACGGCCCCGGATATCGGTTAGGAAATCAGTTCTCTCCTCTAAAGGGAACGAATCCCGCCCCTTGCACCGCAAACATCTTTTCGGGGTTCGGGTTTTCACTCGTAATCAAGGCCTCGCATTCGGAGGAGGGGACCCCCGCCATCGTTTCAACCTCCCTGGCGGAATATAGCTTCTTCCCTTTAACTGAACTGGTTCCCGGTCCGAAATCACACTCTCAGTATCAGAGGAAGGGACCACTCGCCGTCGCGATTCCCCTTATCCTTGTTGTACACGTACCAATCCTGCACCCTGGGTTTCCATTGTAATCAGGCATCGTCCTCCGTAGCGGGGACGCTCGACGTCGTCCCCGGCGTCGGCGACTCGGGGGAAGGCCCAGACCGTATTCTATGCCACGGGTCTGGGATGGAACCCACCTGCTCCTCGATGTGCTTGAGCATTACCTGCCGGTGAATGACGGTTTTGTGTGAAGAAACTAACCAAGTTCAACTCTGATAGTATCCACACAAGACCGTAGACTCCAGGACAAAAGTTGTCATGATATCAACCTTTGTAGTGTGATAGACGTAAGGCTGTGCGCAAAATCGTTGAGGGAGGAAAAGCATCCACCGAAATATGCCATTCTAATTGGCTGCCCCACCCGCCCTGACCTACGTTGGACGATTAAACAAGCGCGCAAATCCCAACGCACACACCGCAAACACAACCACAGACGACTCGTCAAATTTTTCAGGGAGTGGCTCCACCGCTTGCTTCAAGTTTCGTTCAAGAAGACGGAAACAGCAACAAGGAGTCATGAATGGGAGGAACAACAACAACAGCAATAACAACACAGCTTCTCACCCTAGGCCCCGAATCGCCAGCGCAGGTGAACTCGTCCACCAGCTGGCCCGAACAGTAAAGAAGCACCGTCGGTGTCGCGTGGATGTCCAGCATCTTGTGAACCTTTCAACACACGAGACAGAGGCATGTTGCTGCTTAAACTATCCTTCAAGCGTGAAGAGGCGTTACTAGGAGGACGTAAACGTCCAGCACTTTTGTGCACCTTTTGAAGCAGGAGACCGAGGAATGTTGCTGAAACTGTTCTTCCAGCTCCAAGAGACTTGCGAAGACGCGAACGGCGAACACACACCGGTCACATCACCCGTTTATAGGGGTCACCCACTCCAGTGAATACCTTCCTCCTGCGTGACCCCTTATGGTGTGTAAAACAGTCTCACTCACTGAAAAAGACCTCAGCACATCTCTTTCGGCTGTGGATCTCCAACGAGTAGTCTTTCTGTGAGGTTATGTATACTTTCTAAAAACAAACCGACAGGGCGCCGACTGGCGCCCAGAACTGATGGATGAAAAAACAAGGGTCAACCTCGAAGACCGTTCGTGATTCAGGTTGAAGGTGCCTTCTGAAGGTCCACAGTCTCCGGAGAACTTGGACGCCCACACAGTTGTCCTCGGCTAAAATTGATTGCTCTTGGGAAGAACGCAAGAAATCATCTACAACATTCAGATGGCATGAAATTGCGAACAATATCAAGCACCTACCGTCGCTGCACTGGCTCGCTAGCTGTCATCGTTCTACGGCTAGGATTATTATTTGAATTCATCGTCCAACATCGCCAGTCGTACTCTGTTGTGGTATTTACCTCCGGGTTGGCATTGAGGTCGATCTCGTAGAACATGGCCCCTGATCCGGCCAGGGCATGCGCCTCTGCCAGCACCCGAAGACGATGCCGAAGCTGAGAAGTCACCGAGTCCACAACACACACAAGCAGAGAGAGATAGATAGGCCGAGAGAGAGACGGACCGAGAGGGAAAGACAGCAAGAGAGAGTGACAATGAATGAAACAACGAGAGAGAGAGAGAGAGAGAGAGAGAGACGCCGTCAGACAGACAGACGGAGGGTTTAGGACATGTGCCTTCGTCCGTAGCGCGTGACGGCGCAAAACAAGCAGCTGACCTATGAACTAATCGTACCCGATTCATGGCAGTGTACAAGAATAGCGAGGTGTACAGATGCCTCGCATGAGTCACAGTTGAAGCACGGCGGGCGGGATGCCCGTGTGTGCACAGGGAAGTAAGGAAGCAACAGTCAGCAACGAGCGCGTTCGAGACAAACGCGGCGTAAAGGCGACCTACATGGTGGCAGGAGCGGCACCACGGCATGTAAGTGACCACAGTCACGAGCTCGCCGGACAAGGACTGGTCCATCGCCTCCAGAAAACCGACAACTCCGCCTTTGATATCCTTGCGACGGCAGGAGGAGCACGCGACAACGTTGGACAAAACATCAACGCGGACAAGAACACATGAGCACTTTGCGTTGGTGATACCGTTGTTGCTTTTTGTGACGGCAGTGGTGTCAAACACACGGGGTATTATCTGCTCACGAGACCTCCCATCTACCACCCGTGTTGTTGTTGGTCGTGGTGGTGTCTCCCCCAAAATAACGCTCCGCTCTCTGCCCAGCAAGACCTTCAAACATCCTTGTTGGTCCACCTGCCGCGGATGCCTTCCCACGTCATAGGCGAACTAGCCGAAAAGGGCACAAACATTAGGGTGGAGCACACAACACAGCCATGCCGAGGAGTGATACACCCCAAGCTCGAGCCCGGGTCAATGGATATCAGGGCTTAGTCTTAACGATCCCCGCCCCTGACAGGTGCTGTACGTGTCTGCCTCAGCGTACCATACTCACATCGAAATGCGCGAACAATGCCCCCATTCATATTCTAGGCAAACAGACTTGAGTACAACGCGGTGCACACCGTCATACCGCGCGAAGATACTCTGCGCCTTGGGTGTTTCGCGAGGACGGTCTTGCTGCTTGTTACGGCACTTTACGTCGCGATTCGATTTCCAACCCCCTACAAAGCCAACAGCAACCTGAGCCAATCACAACCCCACCAGCAGCACCAACAACAACAACGACAGCCGCAACCAGACAAACAACACCAATACCAATCATTACTACCACTACTACTACTACTACCACTTCTACTACTACGACTTCTACTACTACTACTACTACTACCACTACTACTACTACTACTACTACTACTACTACCACTACTACTACAAGTACTGACAACAACGACGGCAACAACACGGCCACTACCACCGCGAACAACAACAACAACAACAACAACAACAACAACAACAACAGCGAACTCACCGCCACATACTTGAAGTCCTCCGCGCTGTTGCCGAACCCGGTCGTTCGAGTGACGCGTGGCTTCACGTCGTCACGACCGCTCCTGCTACTGCTACCGCTGGCTCCGCCGCTGGTTGGACGCGGACCGGACTTGAGGGTCATCATCGTCAAGGGCGACGAAAACGCGGCGCGATTCCTGCCGCTTGAGAACAAGGCAAGGCGGGGCGACGAGGGACGTGCTCATGCTTTGCATGCCTTGGCGGAAAGACCATTGACCACGTGTCCTCGAGAGGGCGGAGGATTGTTCCCACAGGACCCACCACCGACGGCCAAACGGCCCTCCTACTCTGCAAAAAAAAAAAGTTCCCTACATCTATCCTGTTGGTCTGATTTCCCGCCGTTTAAGACGGGGGGGGGTACATTGTTACGTTGACGACAGTACGGGTCACTGAAAAGAAACAAAACCGACCTTGCCCAAGAGCGGGTCAATAAGACGGCAAAAAAAGGGAGTGGTAGATAAAAAACAAAAAGCGGATTGTCGTTGTTTACACTCGTGCAAGTGATGGCAACCCCGGCTCCAGACCGACCCTCATAGCTATCCGATTGCTCCACAGCAGTCGACACGGCGCGAACGCCGGCTGATGGGTGCGAGGAGAGCTCCCGAAGACAAGTCCCCTGAACCACGCTTTCTCTTCGGCAGTAACAGCTACACGGCCATCAACACCCACATCTGTAGTCCACCCTCCACCTAAACGTTGCCCTATAGTCACAGCTTTAAAACCCTTCACATACCCGCTACACCATTTTACCATTTACATTCACACCCTTCACCTCAACGCTTCACTATACCTAAGCTTTCCACCCTTCCCCTGAACGCTGCCACACAATACTCCAAAGCTTGCCACCCTTCACCCACACGCTGTGTGCATGACCATCACCACTCACAGCTTCTCGCACGGTTCGCCAATGCAGCGATGGAGACCGGAGCGTCTTGCGGAGATTTCTGCGTAGCCCCCGCCGCCCGCCCGAATCGTGGTCGGCTGCCCGACAAACGCATCTACCAGACCCACGCCCCTACCGCTGCTGCTGCTCCCGCCACCACCGGTCCTGCTGTCGATGTTGGCCCCCCCGGGGGCCAGGGCTAGGACGCCCAGGGCAAACGCCGTTGTTGATTGTGTCGCCATCATTTAGCTGATGGGCGGGGATGGGGGGGG